CGGTCCCGCGCGGCCGCGCTGCGCAGTGACTCCGCAGCGGGCGGAGCGCCGTGGGCCGCGTCCTCCCGAGCAGTGGCTGTGGTGGTGGTGGTGGCGGCGGCGGCAGCCTCAGCTCCTGCTCCCCGTGCCGCCGGCCCCAGCGCTGTCTCCAGGGCCCCCTAGGGCCCCCGGGCCCTCGAGCCCGGTGCGCGCCCTTGCGTCCCGCCGGCCCCCTCCCCCGGCTGGGCCCGGGGGAGGGTGGCGCCGTGAGAGAGCGGGGACCGGGCTCTCCTGCCCGTTCCCCTGCCCCTGGGCCGCCAGGATGGAGGCGGGGTCGGGGCCCCCGGGCGGCCCGGGATCGGAGAGCCCAAATCGGGCCGTGGAGTACCTGCTGGAGCTGAACAATATCATCGAGAGCCAGCAGCAGCTGCTGGAGACCCAGCGGCGGCGCATCGAGGAGCTGGAGGGCCAGCTGGACCAGCTCACCCAGGAGAACCGCGACCTGCGAGAGGAGAGCCAGCTGCACCGCGGGGAGCTGCACCGGGACCCCCACGGCGCGCGGGATAGCCCGGGCCGCGAGAGCCAGTACCAGAACCTGCGCGAGACCCAGTTCCACCACCGCGAGCTGCGGGAGAGCCAGTTCCACCAGGCGGCCCGGGACGTAGGCTACCCGAACCGGGAAGGTGCCTACCAGAATCGGGAGGCTGTGTATCGGGACAAGGAGCGGGACGCCTCCTACCCGCTCCAGGACACTGCCGGTTACACAGCCCGCGAGCGCGACGTGGCCCAGTGCCACCTGCACCACGAGAACCCAGCCCTGGGTCGCGAGCGTGGCGGGCGGGAGGCCGGGCCGGCGCACCCCGGCCGCGAGAAGGAAGCCGGCTATTCGGCGGCGGTGGGCGTGGGGCCGCGGCCACCGCGGGAGCGGGGCCAGCTGAGCCGTGGCGCATCCAGGAGCTCCAGTCCCGGCGCCGGCGGAGGCCACAGCACCAGTACCAGCACCAGCCCGGCCACGACCCTCCAGAGAAAGTAAGGAATGTGTGTTTGTACCCCGGCTCTTCCCTCTAGATCCCTCTCCAACTTGTCCGGCTGATAGAGTAAGAAGCCAGTGTCTGATTCCATGTCTTCCTCTCCTGTCCCAACCCGCCAGGATAAGCTAGGTCCCCCTCATCCAGCCGACACCCCTTCCCTGGCCACCCCAGACTGGGTTGGCCAGATGAGTGCAGGCGCCTCCCCCGCCTCCACTTCTTCAACCCCTAGCTGCATCCTTGCTAAAAGATGGGTTTTCATTTATTTATTTATTTTGGATATGCTGGTTGGAATTTTTATGGTCGGTGAGGGTGTCTACTCAGAGCCCCAGGGGAGAGAAAGCCCCCCTACCCCGCCTTTTCCCCCCTTTTTCTTTTTTTCTTTTTGCCTGATCTTTTCTCCTCTGGCCGCCTCAGCTCCATCCTTTACCAGAGAGGCAGGTGGGGACCAGAATGGCTGCTGGAGGCTGAGACATCTCTCTGAGGGGAACTGCAGCACATTCTGGCCGGGGGGGAGCAAAGATGGGGGAGCAAAGATGGAGGCCAGGCCCTTGGCTAGTTCCTCAAAGTCCACCCCCTTTCCACCCTTCAAGAAAAACAACACCCATTTAAAGAGCCCTACCGGGAAGGGAAGTCTAGATCTCCCCTCTGCTGGATCCGTTCCAGTTCCTGCGCTGGGGTCTTGTGTCTATTTGGGACACCTTGGCACTATGTCTTGGGTTGGTGGGAAATGGGCTTGGGTCCACTTTTTCTGTGCAGACACCATGGTGAGCCAATTGGGATAAATGTATCGGGCTGAGAGAGTCAAGGGCGTGCAGGCTCGCGGCTGCCCTAAAGGCTCCCCTTATTTCTTTTCTGCCGTATTCGAAGGAACACTGAGCTGGGAGTTGGGAGACCTGAGTTCCCCTTCCAGCTCTGCTGCAGATTGGCTTTGTGACCTTGACTGAGTCTCTTTCTCTCTTAAGCCGTCAGTTCCCTCGTATCTCTTTAAACGGCCAGGTCTGTCTTGAATGCTCTTGAAGTACCCCTCCAGCTCAGATTTGATGGTTCTGTGTTTAATCCAGCCACACTACAGAGCAAGTCTGAAGTCCTGTAGCGAATGGACAAGCTTCCCCCTCCTCTCACTGCTCAGCTGGTCCTACCATGTGCCACAACCAGTGGAGTGTCTCTTGGAGGCTGGGCTGGGGGTGGGGAAACCTTCTGCCTCAGGAAATCTGCCGGGAGACAGCTCTCTGCAACTCCCCCGTGGTGAGGCAGCAGGCTGGGGTGCTGGGTTGAGATGGCTGGGCCCCAGGAGCAGCAGCTGTAGCTTGAGGGCTCGGCTGGGCTCCACTGCAGCGCACCCTAAGCTGAGTTTTAGTGTAGACTGGCCCGAGGAGTCTGGGGCAAAGGAAATGGGCTTTCCTGCCCAGGCAGGGCTGCTGTGAGCTCAGTCTGGGAGGACTGACTGTGTGCCTCGGGGTGTCACACTGGAAGAGAGACACAGGTAGACCAAGGTCCATTCAGGAGAGGGCTGTGGTGGGCCAGGGGCAGAGGAAGACTGCATGGGGCATGGTGGTCTTCGAGCTTGGCTGCAGAAGAGTTTTCTAGAGGGGTCAGACCTGTGACAGAGGGAGCAGACTCAATTATGTGTGGCTTCAGGGAGCAGAACCCAGAACAGTGGGAACATTTAGGTTCAGTTAGGAAGAACTTTCTAACCTGGACTTCTGGTGGTGTAGTGGACTGCCTCGAGAGGTAGAAGTGGGAGCTGGTTGGACCTGGAGCTCTCAGTGGAGCCCGGGTGGAGTCTGGGAGATCTGGAGGAAGCGTGATTCCTGAGTCAGGTAGAAAGCCCAGGGAAATGACCTGGGTGGTCCCCACATATGGGATTCCATGACTCTGGCTCTCCATCCTGCAGACATTGGTCTGAATCAGTTGGCTGGCTGGATGCCTGCTTGCTCCTGAGCTCCATGTTTCTGCCGTCCGTGCAGGCCTACGTCTTGGTCCTTCCCTCTTTTTGTGAACCCCCAAGGTTGCTTGTTGCATTTCCTTGCTTCGTATTTCCTACTGGATTAATAAAGGGGTTTAGGTAGTGCTTTAAGCTCCTCTCCTGGCCATATATTAACTATTCGCACACCCATTATTACCTCTTTTGGACTTCACAACAAGCCTTGTGCACTGAGTGCTGGCAACTGCATTTTTAGAGATGGGGAAACTGAGGCTCCAAGATGAAGGGACCTAGCTCAGGGTTACCCTACTAGTTGCTAATGGAGCTGGGACTAGAACCCAAGTCTTCCTGTCTCCCAGGCCTGTTATTTTTTCCCTAGAGCTCTCCAACCCACAGGAGTGTCTTGGCCTCAGGAGCTGCACTGGCACTGAGCTGGGAGAGACCAGGAGAGCCTTAGGTCTCTAAAGGATTAGAGCAGGAGACACGTCTGGGATGAGTGGGGAGTTGACGGCGCAGGGAAGAAGGCTCTGTCTCCCTCCTTTCCACTCTCCCTCCTGGCCTGCCATCAGGAGGGCCTGTTGATGCAGTAGCCATTGCTGTCATTGCTGCTGCTGCAAGCGATTCCCCTGCTAGGCCTGTTCTGGGTTTGTAAGGAGTGGGTGAGAAGCCGCTGGAAGCGAGGGCAGGCAGGGTGGGAGTTTAGCAGCAGAGGCTGCAGCATTGGGGGAGGCTAGGTAGAGCGGGTACAGGCTGGGCGCTCCTGGTCCCCAGGCTCCCCCTGGTGGAGGAAGAGGGCAGAGTGGCACCTGGGCCAAGCTGGGGCTTGTTGGGCCCCCCCCCCCCGCCCCCTCGCTGTGCCCAGGGACTGTCTTTAGTTTTCCCACTGATCCCATGCTTCTGTCACCACGATCCACATTTTACAGCACAAGAAACTGGGGGATCAGAGAAGTGAAGCCCACCAGAGGTTACGTTACTAATAAGACAGACTCCCAATCCCGTGAACTTTCCCTCTACTGCATTGGACATCAGCTGTCATGCCCACCCCCATCCATGTCATCCACGCAGGCTTCCCATATCCTCCTGCACCATCCCCTCTGGACAGGTTCCAGGACGCCAGTATCCCTTCTGCTGTGCTCTGGGTGTGGCCTTTCTAGTGCAGATAGAGTGAGATGCGTCCCTGTCTCCTTTTGGTGATGGGTCCTCTGTATGCAAATGATTTGTTTGCTTGCTTTCTAGTAGTCGTTGGTACTGACTAATGCTCAGGTCTTTTTAGCTGGAATTGACCACATACCCACCCCTAGCCCGGCTGATTAGAGAACAGCTCTGCTTTTGTTGTTGATCTTGGCTTGGCCCCCTTGCAGTTCTGCCACCTAGAATGATTTATAGGAGTGCTAGGGGCCACTGCTGAGTTGCTCCACGCTGAAGAGCTGCGTTTCCCACGCTTTTTGCATGGGCCCAGCTCTGGCTCTGCTGTAGGCGGTGGTGGGCTGAAGCTGGTATGGTGGCAACTCTCCTTCCTCTACCCCCACCCCCACCCACCCCACAAGCTGGCTTACATTTGGAGATAGCAACTAGAGGGGCTGGCCTGGTGTGTGTGTGTGTGTGTGTGTGTGTGTGTGTGTGTGTGTGTGGTGTGTGTGTGTGTGTGTGTGTGGTGTGTGTGTGTGTGCGTGTGTGTGTACGTTTGGTTTTGTTTCGTTTTTGAGACAGGGTCTTGCTCTGTCTCTCAGGCTGGAGTGCAGTGTTGCGAACATAGCTCACTCAAGTGAGCTCAGGAGTTCAAGGCTGCAGTGAGCAATGATTGCAAAAAAAGAACACCAGACTGGACCTTCCACTTGCTATCCTCCCAATTTTTTTTTTTTTTTTAAGCAGAGATGGGGTCTCTCTGTGTTGCCCAGGCTGGTCTCAAACTCCTGGGCTCAAGCGATCTTCCTTGGCCTCCCAAAGTGCTGAGCCACCATGCCCGGCCTAACCTGGTATTCTTGACAGCCAGGGCAATGTATGGTCTACCACATGCTGTCCTCTGCTTGCGGTGGGAAGTCTGCTTGCCCCACGCAGGGGCTAAGGCCACTGAGAGACAGCGCGTGAGAGAGTGAGCCCAGGAAGAGGCTCAGGGGAAGTCTCTCCTATGGGGTCTTGGGTACTTTTCCCAGGGGGTGTCTCTCCTTCCCAGGAGGGAAAACCATTTATCTTCCCTCCCACTGTGTTGTGAGCATTATCTTGGTGTGGGAGGAAACGATAATGTTGAATTTAATGAGAATGTGAGTCTTGCTTCTCTATCTAGATTTGGGGCAAGAATGGGGTTGTTGTCATCCACAAACATTTTTTGGCTGTGTGCACAGTGCAGGAGGGGCCACCAGGCTGAGCAAACACCGAGCTGTTAGGGCTTGCAGAACCCTCGCTCCCCTCCGTCCAGGGAGACAGGGTTGCAGGCCTACTAGCCCTGCCATAGAGACAGTGCTCAGGGCAGAATGAGTGGCAGGAGTGGTGAGGAGTGGGAGTTCTCAGAGGAAGGAGGGATCAGGGCAGGCCAGGCTGCTGGTTGAGTAGCTGGGTGGCGGGTAAGGGATGGAGATATGGAAGGAATGTGAGTGGTCCCTTCGTGGAGGTGGCAGCCGGGAGGAAGACATCAGACCAGACTTGCTGCCTGCCCTTTCCTCCTCTGTCCTACCCCTTTCTCTGAATTTGCTGGGTGCAGAGTAAAGGCTTGGAGCATGGGGAAGAGGCCACACGTGTGCCGAGTGAGTCTCAGCCTCCTGTGTGCCAGGCCCCATGCTACGTGGCTTTATGTAATAATAGCTAGCATTTTTTCACTGCTCTTACTGTGTGCTAAGCACTATTTGTTCTAAGCGCTTCCCATGTATTAATTCATTCAATCTCCACATGAATCCTCTCGTGTAGATATTGTTATTAACTCCGTTTTACAGATGAGGAAACTGAGGCCCAGAAAGGATGGATAGCCTACCCAGGGTCACTCAGTGAATAAGTGGCAGAACTGTGAAGGAGCTGGGGAAACCCAGGGAGTTGCGCTCCAGGGTCTGCAGTGTTCTAACCCACCCTGGAGCACTACTTCT